ACCTTGTATCCAGCTACTCTACTGAATCTGTCAATTAGGTCTAGAAGACTTTTGACTGAGTTTTTTGGGTCTTCTATGTAAAGTATCATATCATGAGCAGATAATGACAGTTTCACTTCTTCCTTTCCTATCTTTATTCCTTTTATTTCTTTCTCTTGTCTAATTGCTATGGCTATATAGGAGGATGTTTCTACATAGAGTTCACTAGTACTCCAAGACCTTTTAGCTCTACTTGATTAATTATATTTATTCTTAAAATCCTCAGTCTTGATATCTACTTCTAGGCTGTTAAACACTAGATTCTTAGTGAGAATTCCTCACTGTTCTGCTTAGGCTCATCAGTACTACTCATCTCTTAGCAGCTGTGTGGCTTGCTTCATATTACAGAGAAAGTTAAGGTTACCAATTAAAACAGATTTACTGAGAATTAAATGATGCTTAAGTTTCACATCCTCCCACTGAAGCCTTCATTCTAAAGATCTGGAAGGGCCACTGGTGAAAGTAAATGGTTTAGTCCTAATTGTTTAAAAATTCTCTTTCTGTTCCCATTTCCTCTCTGCCCCACTTACGATGTCACTACAACACAGGAGTAATTATAGGCTTGGGAATCTCTCTAAGGAAAAGTTGACTTGAGATACACTATTATAATTTCCAGTTAGAAAGACATTTTAGAACAGTTTCAATAAAACAAGTAAGAAATTTTAGACTAAAAACTTGGATGTGTATTAATCTTAAAATATTATTGAAATAAAAGCAGTAAACATGAACAATGTAAGCAATAGATACTATTCTGGCATAAAGAAGCAAATTGTAGCAATAAGGTTTGTCAGATTGTATCAAATAATTAAGAAAATGACAAATTTTCAATAAAAGTTTTTGGATTATTTGATAATCCAATGAATAGGAGTTATTCATATACACTGGAGAAATATTTGTTTCCTCCTAATTCGACAAAATTACTTACTTCACTGAGTATAAAAATCCTAGTAGGCTGGGAGTGATGTTGTACAATTGTAATCCCATCTACTGAAGGAGGATGGGATTGAGGCCATCCTGCATCATTTAGTGAGACTATTTAAAAATAAAAAATAAAAAAAGACTGGAGGTGTGATTCAGTGGTGCAGTGCTCCTGGATTCAATTCCCATTGCCACACACGCACACAATATCCTAATATTACTACTTCAAGTATGACATGTAGGATAAACTGGTTCATGAGTTTTATTATTTCAAGGAAAATTTAATATTTTTGGAGATGCCAAAAATCTTATAATTATACATAAAACATTTGGTAGGGATTTCCTTCAAATTTGACAACACTGACTATTTATGTGGCATTACTAATAATAAGCTATGAAGCCAAAGCTCTTTCTACTAATAGCATTCTAAGTGAAAGGCTATATAATTTTTATATCCTCTCAATATGTGGTAAAATTCTAACATTCTTCATTTGTAGACATGATTATGCAGCATAAAGCCAAAAATTGTAGGCAAAAAAGTATTGTAGAGCTGTTTAAAAAGTTATATTGTTTTCCTGTATTTTGTGACACTAGTGAAAATTATCAACTTTTAAATTTTTACTTGTAGTGCTTTTTCTCATTCTGTAAACAACTGCATACTTTTAAACCTAATTTTATTATCACTTTTGTGCTTTTCAAGAAATCATATAGATTTAGTTAGGCTTCATAAAACTGGGATCTACTCTTAGCTGACCAGCTTGAATTTTCTTTTTCTTGCCTTTCTCCTCACAGAGGCATCTACATCCATATCATCTTGCCTTCTGTTAAATATTCTCATAGGCTCTGACTTCCACAGATGCAGCTTGATCTCAGCAGGTGCCCTACAGCACCTCGTGATAGGCCCCTTACCTTGACTTGCTTCTTGGCTCTTATCTCCCTGCCAAATCAGTTCCTGACCCTACGGTCAGGCTTCTCATTCTCACATTTGCTCCTGATTTGAAATCTTTCTCTGCTTTCTGAAATCAAAATCCTTAGCTCAGCATGCTGATTGAATCATCGCCTATGGCTTCTGACCACTCAGGCAAACTTTACGTAACACACAGAATTGCACCATCCTTTGTGAAAAAGGTTAATCTTTCAACCTCTGTGTTCTTTCTGTCCTTTTTAAGGCTTTACACAAGAAACAATCCCACCTCTTCTCTGTGTTTTTAGCCTCTGTGACTATACTCATTCTGTCTCTTCACCTGTGTACGCACTTGGGTGAATCTCATCCTCATGTACCATCCTACACTTCTTCGTTGCTTCCTCAGTCAAGCATCTTGATAGGTGGTACCACATACTGACTGTTTTCTCACTTCTGCTTCACTGCTCAGACCTCTGCTACCTAATGCCTTTCTTTGAGGTCATCAAAGGCCTCCTTAATTCCAGATTCAAAGGACTCTCTTCAGTCTTTATCTGAGGCCTTCAACACAGACTACTACTTTCTTCCTAAAATCTTTTGCCTTTTCTGACACCTTTTGTTTTGTTTCTTCTCCTAACTCACTAATTAGTCCTCCCTTTGTGAAATTTTGAGAAATTCTTTCCTGTTTGGTTCCTTAAACATCGGTATTGTCCAGTATGTTATCCTGCGCACTTCTCACTTCTTTATTCCTCCGAGGGGGGCTCTATTTTCTCATTTCCTTCCTTCATTGGTCATTATTTATTGAACACATACTGTGTGGTGGATACTGTGCTAGATGCTAAGGAAGGAGATTATGATGAGCAAGACATAGTTTCTGTACCATAGAAACTACTTATGGCCCATAGTTTACTAAGGGCCATAAATATTAACCAAATAACTGTACTCCCATGGTTTCAGTCATCACCTTTGTGTTCATAACTTCCAAATCTATGTCTACATCTTGCTTGATTATTAAGGAAATTAGTAGCCGGGATGTCTGAGATGACAAAAATATGTGATTATCTTGAGCTGTGGCATAAGATGAAGAAAAAGCACTGGAGCAGCCACCTTGAAAAGTTTTATGATTAGCCCAGGTTTCACAGAACTGGGACCACGATATGCTAGAAGAATGCTGTCACAGATGGTCTGAGATTCTCATTTAGGCTCTGTTACCAAATTGCTCTGACCAAACTTTCTTCTGTAAATGTTTGCTGTTGGGTTAATGGAAAGCTTAATAGAATAAATATATATAACTTTCTTTGTAGTTAAAAAATGGAAATTAGTTGGCATGACCATTCTACTTCCTTCTAAACCAGAGATATTTCTGGTTTATACGTTGTCTCAGCTTAATATTAATAACACCTTTCACTTTCAAAATTGTTTCCATTTAGATAGTAGATTATATGATCATTCTAAAATCATTTTGAAGAAATATTTCTCATTATGCTTATTATTTTGAAAAATCCTAATTTTTTATTTTATTACTTTGTAGTGAAAGATTGTTGGAGTTCAACAATTTCTGGAATAAGACTCTTTCATTCCTTTCTTTTACTAAAAAGGAGCTAACTACTATTAAAAATGAAATATATAATAATTTTCAAGACTGGACTTCACTGAAAGGAGAAGTTTTTCTACAAATTAAATGTATAAGTGAAATAGCTTTGACAGGTTTGTTAAATATATTTAGAACATAATTGTTATAAATAGTACATCACAAGTAATGAAATAATGATATCCCATTGTATTATTTGGACTCACTTTTTAAACTTGTTATTGATACAGTAGCTGATTATTACACTCTACTTCTACCTTGATCTTCAATAAATATAGGATAATCTAAGATAAGCTATGATACATCTGTTTTAATCTGTGGTCAAAGCCTGGCTATTTGTGTTAAATATATTAATTTGTATTTAAATTTTTTTCTTCTTTCATTATATAAGCTGAGCAGCTTATATCAGATCAACCTTTCTACAGATAATAATTTCTGCACAAAATAACTCCTTGAAAACATTGGTGAGTGACCAAAAACAAGTATATAAGGGAGGAAATGTCAGAACTTGAGAGAGGACATGTTACTGAATGAAAGATGCCAATCTGAAAAGATTACATACTTTATTACTGCAACTAGAAAACATTCTGGAAAAAGAAAAACAATAGAACAGTAAAAATATCATTGAATGTCAGAGATTAGAGGCAGGGAAGGATAGGTGGAACACAGGATTTGGGGGAACATTGAAACTATTCTGTATGACACTATAATGGTGGCTATATTTCAGTATGTATTTATCAAAATTCAGAATGTGCAATACCAAGATGGAACCCTAATCTAACTATGAATTTTGGGTAATAATAATGTACCAGTGTTGGTTTACTGATTGGAACAAATGCACAATACTGATGCAGAATGTCAATAGCAGGAAATACTGTGCATATGTGAGAGCAAAAGGTTTATGATTCTCTACTTTCTGCTTAGTTTTGCTGTGACCCTAATACTGCTCTAAGAATTAGTCTATTAATGTCATTATAAATATTGAAGGAAGGACATGGAATTTGGTGGGTTCCTTTTTTATTTTTTAAAGGCTACTGGACTGAGGTCAGGATATGGTTTGCACCATACAGAGAAGCAAAGAGTCTGGTAGAAATATGTATTCATTTTGGTTTGATAACTAGAGGATAGAGATCAAGACAGCCCCAGCCTCTGAGAAGTGAAGGAATGCCTGGAGAAGATATAGCAAGAGAAGAGGACCCAGAAAGAATGGCTGCTATTAAGAAATCAACCAATAACAAGTGCTGGTGGGATTGTGGGGAGAAAGGAACCCTTCTCCATTGTTGATGGGAGTGCAGTCTGGTGCAACCACTGTGGAAATCAATATGGAGATACCTCAAAGAGCTAGGATTAGAAGTCCCATTTGACCCTGCTATTCCCCTGCTGGGTATCTTCCCAAAAGAATTAAAAGAATCATATCACAGTGATATATACTCACCTTTATAGCGGCACAGTTTGTAATAGCTAAAACTTGGAAACAGCCCAATTGCCCATCAGCTGGAGACTGGATAAAGAAGATGTGTTTTTTTTATAAAATGGAGTACTACTCAGCCATAAAGAACAAGAAACTAGAGACATTTATAGGTAAGTGGATAAACATTGAGGCCATACTCTTAAGTAAAATAAATAGGACACACAAATACCAAGTAGAGAAACTAAGGATCAAAATGTATAATTGATAATGTGAAATAGAAAGAAAAGGTCTAAAGGAGTGGGGGAAGTGGGAGGGGTAGGGGAAAGGAAAGAAGGGAAAAATATGAGAAAAGAAAAAAATGGAAACAAAGTCTTTGTAAATAGGGAAGGG